AAACAGTAACAAGTACTCCAGTAACATTTGTACCACCAAATTACAATTTCATAATATAGTAAGATCATATGCTAAGAACTTACTTGAAGTTCACTGAATGCTGGTACAAAATAAACTCCATCTGAATCTTGAAAAAACATAAAATGTGAATGTAAAACAAATTTCACCCAGATTTTGTATCGAAATTTATGTTATTCATAATATGATGAATGTCTATACTATTTATATGAAAAACAAATCTGTTATAAAAATTAACATTATGTGAAGTAAAAAATTATTAATTAATTCATCAAAGAATAAAAACAGGAATTTTCAGACCTACATCCACCTAAATCTCAATAATACTGAAACTGATTTTACTACAAATAAAAATGTTCTCATTGCTATGGCTGTTTCTTCAAACAATAAAAATGGCATTTATTATAAAAAATATTATGTTAAACAAATCTAGTAAGATATTAAATAACAATCAAAACATGGTTCAATATGAAAATCATTTCTGAACCACCATTTCAAGAAAACTTTTTTCACTTTTACAAAAGAAAAACTGAATTATCTAAGATTGTGTAGGTAAAATCATTGTACTATCAAGTTTCTTGTAATTTTCAACCTCAAAGAATATGTGGACAAATCAGTAGTTTACAAATACATATCTTCAGTATTAATAATATATAGATAAAATAAGCATTAAAAAGATTTTGATAGTGTTTCCATTGTCAGTCCTAGTTGTCACTTTAAAGTCATAGCAGATAATGCCTTTGGTAATAGCTTCCAAATTCATTGGGAATATTCCATCTATCAAACAAAATCCAAATGCTCATGTTAAACTAGCCAGCAAACATGGAAAATCAACTAAGGGTATGGAGTCGAATGCTTACACCCACATCTCAACTCCTCCTGCCTTTCACTGTCCACAGCCAATTGTGGAAAGGCAGTTACCCTTAGGGTTCTTATAGTTCCTAAAGTAGAAATGAAACCACCCTAAAATTAACTATATGAAACTCTCAATCTCCACCCTCACAAAAGAAATTAAATAAAATAAAACTAAATGATCTTAAATAGAACTACAATCCCTGCCATAAAGAATCGACTAAGAACCCTAAACTTATCTCAATATAAATTAGATATTTTTTTCAATGTCTTTAAAAATAAAATAAATTCGAAAACAATTTATTATTATCCCCAATTGACAAAGTTGGCTGTAATTTTGGTTTTGTGTGTAAAAAATTACATGCACAAATTCTTAATGAAATTAATACTTCAAGTATTTTTACTAAAAGTACTTTAAAGAAAAATAATGTTATTACAAATTTAAAGGCCATTAAAAAATGGAATATCCATACAGATTATTTTTGCACGAATTTACCATTTTTATATGCAATTCCAAAATTGCATAAAAATCCCGTGAAGTTCAGGTTTATTACTAATTCTTTACATACAACAATATTCTAGATGTCTTGTTTAAACAGATAAAAAACAGTCTTCAAATAACCAGAACAATTATTTTTCTATTATTAAAAATAACATTACAGTTTTGGAAAGTTTAAATAATTTAAATTCTTCAAAACTGTCAGTTCTATTTTACATATGACTTTACTACACTGTATACTAAAATAGACCTAAAAGATTTGATCAGGGTTTTCAATGATTTGTTTGATAATTTTATAAGTAATGAAATAGCTGTACCCAAATTTAAATTTACTAGAATTCAATGTAAAAATATACTCCATTTCTGTATTTATAACAGTTATATTACTTTTAACAAACAAGTATACAAGCAAACAGTTGGTATTCCAATGGAAACAAACTTCTCTTCAAATATGGCCAACCTGTAAGTGTTCTTTTATGAAAGCTCATTTATGAAGTAGACTTTAACTCCTAACTTATACATTAACACTTTCCATTACAAAGATGATTAAATATCTATAAATAATAAAAATTTTACACCAAAGTTAATATATCCAAAGAAGTAGTAATAATAATTATGAGATCCATGCTAATTATTTAGATTTGGACATTACTTTTATATAAGGCCCAATGCGGTTGACTATTTTGATAAAAGAATGGAATTTAATTTTCCCATCCTTGGTCTACCCACACCTAACAGTTATTCCGTGTGTCATGTTAAAAGGTATTATTATTATATCTCAACTAAAAAGGTTTTTAATAATCTGTAATAACTAATTCTTTTATGGATAATATTCAATTGTTAAAGAATAAACTGAAAGATATTGGCTATAAAGACAGGCAATTAAAGAAATTCCTTACACTATTTTTTAATAAGTACAAAAATATTTTAAAAACTAAACTATCGATTCAGGAAAATACCTTATAAAAATAAAATAAAATATGGAGGGCATTAGTTACTTTGATTCATAAGTAGCTAATAACAATTTTTTAAATAATTTTATTCAGTTTCCCAGGATGAAAAGACTAACTTCAAGAAGATGGGCTTGTCTCAGTGTTCTCGTGTTATACTTGAATAAATCTTCAGGAGAAAGAACTTTTAAGGTAGTGTTTATAGTTTTATTTAATGTCTTATTGTAAGAGTGGAGGTTGGGAGTTTAATTAGTATAAATGTCAGGGTGGTTTCATTTCTACTTCAAGAAATGTAATGGTAACTGCCCTCCCACAACTGGCTATAGACAGTGAAAAGCAGTAGAAGCTGAAACATTGTGGGTGTAAGCACTCAGCTTCATACTGTTATTTGATTTATGTACATTTTTTTTTTTTTTCCCCCCCATGACAGCTTACTAGATTAACATCAGCATTTGGATTTTGTCTAATATATGAGATATCCCCAATACATTTTGGTGCTATTGTCACAGACATTAACTGCTATAACAATATTATAAATATATAGTAGTAAGAGGGCAGAAGTAATTGGTTGTGTAAAGTCAGCAGAAATTGTGAAACCATTGAAATAGTTACTAAGACTTACAGAAAAGAAAATGTAAATAAAAGTACGAAATTATAGGATAAATAAAATTTATTTCTGTTATAATAATAATAATAATAAAAAATATAATTAGAATAATATTTTAATTTAAAAAGGAAAGTATATTGACTAATTTTATTTATTTTTGAACATTTGTAACATACTTAATTTATACACAGACTGTATTATATGTTTGTACATTTGGAAAGTATATGTATTTAATTTATATTATTTATGTTTAGTTAAAAGTGGTATTATGTTTTTTTTGTTATAGATTCTCAATAAAACTATTTCCTTTGAAGTCATGTATATAATAAACATCCTTAGAGCATAATAATCAATTAATTTACAATCTTATTATCATCATGATCAAAGTTAAACTTTTATAGTCAAGTAGAGCATTAAATGAACAATATCATGTCAATGCTTTGATTCCACTTCAAATCATAACTAAAGTATGCAAATTTCCAGCAAGCTCAAATGATTATAATTAAAAAAACTACCAAATTACTGACCCAATGAAACATGATTTAGTCCATTAAACTTCATGCATAAACACTTTCCCCATACATAATGTTAGTTTTATAACTCACCTAGTACCGATTTAGCTAAATCGCTCGTTTGGGAAACATCATCATACAAGCCTGAAACAAAAAATGTAGCAATCATGTCCTACAATACACATTTAATCAAAGTATAACAAAATTATTAACAAATAATCAGAGAAGTATAACCACCATATTAATAATTTAAAATATTAATATACATAATGATACACAAAAACAACTCTACCATAAGTTCTTGGCTATATTTACAATCAACTAATAACTGTTGGTTAGAAAGTCTTATGATTTGATGCAAGTATTTCATACTGTACTTTCCAAAAGAGCATTTCAACCATTGTACACTTTGGCCATGGGAGACCACTTTTAACCAGACCTATCACTCAATAGCAGAGATTTAGCATGTCAGCTGGGTTGCAACAACACTCAAGTTTGTAGTTTTACTTTTTGTCACACTTGATTTCTAATCTAAAATGATTTGAAGATTCAAGATTAAATATCATCTAATTTAACATTTCATCTG